ACAAAACACCTTTGGTCAACGAGAAAAAGAACTGTGTTTTTTTTAATTTTCGACCCATATTTATTAGTTTTTACCAACTAGTCACAAACTAAAAATAAATAAAATGGTATTTTTTACTATTAAGTATTCGTTAATTAACTTCTTATTATAAATTAAGTGTATTTATTGAAAATTTTAGGTAGAAATATTCGAATATTTTTTAAAACGGTTCTGTAGCTTCATTCGAATAGTTTTTAAAACTATTTGATAGTTTATGCTAAAAATAAACTGTTTGGTTGTATAAAAACAATTCGAATAGTTATTCGATAGTTTAAAATATTCGAAAATGCCCATCACTAGTGATAATGTTAATATAACATATGGGCTATTTTGCAATATTTTTCATGTTTTCGTATACGATATTGCCAAGCACGTTATGAATCCGATACAGGACTAAGTGATAACGCTATATTAGTATTTGGATTATTTTGCAATTTAGGGAGTACTTCGTCGAATATTTCAATAAACTTCATCGCTCATTAAACTGGCAAATTAGGTGATACAAATATAGTATTATACTTAAAGTAAAAAAAATAAAGCTTAAAATACTTATTTATATGAATTTAATTTATTTAAAGAATTATTGAGATATTCGACGAAATAATTTCCTATATTTTTTGCATTATTCGGCGAACTTCCAAAATCATTTTTTATATACACTATATAATAGGCTATTAATAAAAATTAATAATTTTTATTAATTAAAGATTTACAAAAAAAAAAAATAGAAAATTTTAAAAGATAATTGCAGAAAAAAATGTTTTAAGAAATCAGAACAAGCTATTCCTTTAGGAAATACAAATATATATTCAAAAGAGTTAGATATTTTTTCGTTCAACAATGTAGAAAAGAATGTTATTAATTACTTAAATTATCATATGAATAATTTATTCAATTAATTATATGATATGATTTAGAACTTACAGCAACATGAGTGTTTTTAGTTATAAAATAACAACCGATATCGAAAGTGAGGATGATGTGTTGATTGCCGTGAAATACTTCAATAAAGAAAATTTGATGCCCTTATGATTCAGATAAGGTGAAAAATCCAATAAAAATAAATAAATAGGAGTAAGACATTAATGAGAAAAAGAGTCCCTAAAAGGTACATTAATATAATAGAAGATATGTATGATGGAACTTGTACCAGGGTAAAAAGCGTAGGAGATGTATCAGAAGGTTTTCGGGTAAGAGTAGGAGTGCACCAATGTTCTGCTTTAAGCCTTTACTTATTCTCTATAGTGATGAATGAAATTATTAGAGAAATATAATGAGGGATGCCGTAGTGCATGTTGTTTGCTGACGATAAAGTGTTAATAGGAGAAAATAGGGAGAAAATTAACCAAAGGCTAGAGGTATGGAGATAAGCTATTGAAGAAAAGGGTTTAAGAATAAGTAGGAGTAAGACAGAGTATATAGAGTACGAGTAGAGACAAAGGAAAACACGAGGTAGGTGAAATTAGGAGTTCAGTGGCAATAGGCGAGGACGTGATTAGAGAGATAGAAAGTTGTAAGTATCAAGATCAAGATCAGTCGTGCAAAAGAGCGGTGATATTGACGAGGATGTAAGACACTGGTTTAAGTGCGGGTGGTTAAAGTGGAGAGAGTACTCTGATATGTAATGCGATAAAAGAATTCTATCGAGGCTGAAAAGTAGATTCTGTAAGACTATAGTGAGACCAGATATTATATATGGTTCAGAATGTTGGGTGTTTGATAAGAAAGTAGATCAGAGAATGAGTGAAGAAGAGATGAGAATGCTTAGATGTATGAGTGGAGTGACTAAAAAAGATAGGATAAGGAACGAACTAATGAGAGGGAGAATAGGAGTAGTGTAAATTGTGGATAAGATGAGAGAACATAGATTCAGATAGTTTGGTCATGTTATGAGGAGAGAAGAATCGGAAGCTGTAAGAACAGGGTTAGAAATGAATTTTGAAGGAAGAAGAGGTAGAGGAAGTCCAAAAAAGAGATGGAGAGATGCTATTGAATCCTATTTGAGGACATCTAATGTGAGCGTAGATCATGTGGGAGATCGTGTCAAGTTTAGGATAAGGGTGATGATCCCAAGTAGTTGAGATTAAGGCAAAGAAGAAGGAATTAAATAAAATTAATCAAAAAGTAAAAAAATAAGCATATTTATTAGTTGTAGCTAATTTAAAATATTATATTTTAAATTAAGATTTTCCTAATTTATTTAAGTAAAAAAAAACCAGGCACATGGGGGGTCGCGGGCGCAGTGGTGACGTGGCATAGTTGGATCAAGCGTAATAATATCTGACAGTTATTAAAATCACAATAAAAAAAATCGGTTCGATGCAAATCTTTAGATAGTGTTTAATTTTAAAAAATTGGTGGATTATTCCAAAAACTACATAATCTGCTATTTCCTTATTAATATCCTGATTGAGATAATGTATGTCGAATGAAAAAGGGATATAAATATTATTTCTCATAAAAAAATGTATTGATCCATATTACATTTCATACAAAAAAAAATTTATTAATCTATACATTTTCCAAAAATTTATAGCATTATAAAGTTAAAAATATAAAAAAGAATTATTTTACATAAATAGTATTTTTTTAGCTTCCATACGAAGCTGAGAATATATAAATTTTACCATGTTTTTTTTTTTTTTTGTCTGTTGCCACTTTTTCTCAGCTCTCACTGGACCGATTTCTTTCAACAATACGTCAAAAGATCACAAATCGTATCTAGTTGGAGACATTACCCTTAAAAATTGAAAAATTTTCCTTCGTTCCCCGCAAATGGGGGAAATATCCAAAAAAAATACAAATTTAAAAATCGCTAATTTTCGAAATTTTTTTACTTTTTTTCTTAAAACTTCCATAACTTTTTCAAAAACCAACAAATCAACATAATTTTTTTTTATACTAAAACCTTAGATATTTCCCTTTAATTTGATATCATTTTTTTGAAAATCTAACACTTAACCTGCTCATTGGGGGGATTTAAAATAGCAACTTTTTTACAAAAACTAACTTTTTCAACTTAACTTTTGAAAATGTTCAGGAAATACTGCGTCCTTTAAATATATATCAAATTAAAGCTTATTTTATGTGCTATAAAATGAAAAAAAAAATTTGTTCCGACACTTTATCTTCTACATGCAAACGGGTGCCATAGTTAAGAAAACGCTTTTTTTGTGTTAAATTTTTCGATTTTCGATTTTAAATTTTCAACTTAAAAATGCTATAACTTTTCGAAAAATGTAAGGAGCACAAATTTTTTTTTTCCTAAATAATTANACTGAGCGAGACGAGACTGGACGTTTTTGTCGAAGAAACGTCGAGTTGCGGGTTAGGTTGTTGACGTAAGAATAACTATATACTTTTTGTAAGATTTAATTAATTTTTGTGTTATATTATATTTGACTTTTGTGTTTAATACTTTTCGTAAATAAAATAGCTATTTAAAAATCTTGACTTAGCGCAATATTTTATTTTCACGGTGATATCGAAAATTGTGTGTGTGTGTGTGTGTGTGTGCGGCTAGAGTCTAGGTTGGACTGCTGGTCCTTTAGTCAATCTTAATAATTAGTGTACGAGCTGGCTAGTGTTTGGGCTTAACCGTCCTTTAGTGGGTATAGTAAAAAGGTAGTTGTGCTGGTGGCTGACAAGGAGCCACCCTTCAGTCTGCTACTTTTGAGCTAGACCGTGCTGACGGGTCTAAACTCTACCCCTTTAGTGGTCCACTAATTAGAGAGATTGGGGCTGATCAGTTTATCCAACGGGAGGACTCGGGAAGAGCTCGAACGGCGAACTCATCGTCAATATATATATACATAAAACTTTAGTAAACCTTTGTGTCTACATTGGGGTACTACCGACGTACGACACTTACTATGTGGTTCTTTTTGTGGCTACGATTTATTTTTCCAACCCTCACTAGACCTATTTTTTTCAATGATACGTCAAATAATTACAATTCGTATTTAGTTGAATATATTACCCTCAAAAATTAAATACAAATCTCTTAATAAAATAAAAAGAAGATTAACTTATTCTATTTTCTATTTAAATAATGTCAATTTCAAACTTGAAATTTGAGCTAAAAGTTATGGTAATAAATTCATTTTCACTTAAAAGGACAAAAAAAAGTAGGTTCANTAAATTCATTTTCACTTAAAAGGACAAAAAAAAGTAGGTTCAAAATGATTACTTTTAACATATTAAAAATCAAAATCAATAATAATTTGAAAACAATTCAATATAACAATTATATAATATATAATTTTATATTATATTTTTGAATATAAGAATTACTAATCTGGATATAATTAAGGAAATAGTTGATGTTGCTTTTGTAATTATCCATCAATTTCTTATAATCTATGAACAATACGTCAAAAGATCATAAATTGTATCTAGTCGAAGACATTACCTTCATAAATTAAAAAAATTCCCTCGTTCCCCGTAAACGGGGAAAGTTTCCCAAGAAATTACAAATTTTATTGAATATCAATTTAATACTAAATTTAATTACTATAAATATAAATCAAATAACTAATCGAGATAAAATTAATGGAATAAGTGTTATTGTTTCTTTTGAAATAATCCATTTATTTTTTTAAATTCAACATTATCTACAGATTTGTATCGAAGCGTTTCTTATGATAGTGATTTTAATCACTGTCAGATTAAATCTATACTGGACCCATCTATGCTAAGTCCCCACTGTGCCGTGATTCCACTGTGCTGGGTTTTTAATTTAGCATGTATGCAATATACATATATTTTTTGTAGTATTTGTGTAATTAAATTATTTATATAATTGTAGCGAATTACTTATACTAAATTCACATCAAGTGAATTAAATTAACAAATTATAAACGTATGTGTTAGTAAAAAATTATTGTTATTAAAAAGTATTATTTTAATATTACAATTTAACTTTTATATATATTCAAATTCAAAATATTTATATTATTACAATAAATTGCAAACAATCATTTAACATTAACGTTCATTGAACAATACCTAGAAGACTGTATACCTAATAAAAGAATTGAATTCGTTCATCGAACATATATGTTCGTCAAACAGACGATTCAAAAATAGGCCCCTTGTAAAAATTAAAATTTGACGATACATTTTATTAATATCAGTCGTAAAGGCATATCGGGTAACCGAAATAATGTTAGGACATGGAAAACATCACGTTACAGTTTCGACCCCACATATAAACACTGGTTTAACGACGTCCCGGATAACGCTTGACACGTCGAAAACACTCTTAATTTTACATAGACTTCTGAAGGTTTGTATACGGCCTGACGAAGAATAAAATATGATCCTTCCGATATAGCGGGTGACATGTGACTATAAATGCGCAATAAGACTCGCGTAAACGACTATACATCTCTAATTTTTTTCCAAATACGTAAAACATCGCTCAGCTACCGCACGTGAGCCGTAAAGAATATTGATTTTATGGTGACAGTACGCACTGACTAAAAAATAGAAAAACAACACCGGTGTGTGAACGCTGAGAATACCACTCCTAAATGTGAAGTGAGTATTCAATAAAATATACCTTTAATTTTTCGTTTGTACAGGCCGACACAAAAACTATGCCAGATTATTGGCCAGGATTCATCAGACTCAACGATATGACACAACTCCAAACACGTACATAATAATATTGGTGACGATAGTACTGGACACGACTACTATGACTTTCGTAGGCTAAGTGGTGAGAGGGGGTTGGGTAATGAAAATTTACGTGAAGCATAAGTGGGCTACACATGTAACTTTGGAACAAACATAAAACATATTTTAAATATCCGAAATTGTAAAATTGACTAAAAAGCAAAATGTAAATTGTAGATATGAATGTATTTATACACCAAGTACTTACAAATTTTTGTTATATCCATCAGTATATCGGAAAATAACAGATAATATAAAATCTTTTTGATTTTTAAAAATAAAAATAATTACAGTTCTTTTTTATATATGACGAACGTTTAGAGTAACAGATCTTTAATTGAAAAATGTTTATAATTTAGCTTTATAAAAAAAATGTAATAAGCAAAAGTTTCATATGTTTAGCTCAATGTGAGATGTATTAACAAAATTGTATAAAATATTTTATTTGCAATGTTCTATACCAACCATATAACTTTAACATTTCAAATGATTTAAAATTTCATATAGAATATAAAACTAGTTTAAATATTTAGTAATAATATCCCCATTTCTTTGTTTAATCGATTTAATCGATTTGACACTATAGACATATAATATGAAAAATGTTATAATCCATTAAAGCTTTAAAACTTAAAAAAATTTATTTAATAAAGAAAACGTTATAAGGAAAATATTTAAAACAATTTTTATTTTTGCAGAATCTATTCAGATGGCATCTCAATCTTCAAAACCTGGAGTAATAAAAACGATTAAGAATATGAACTTTGATGAAATAATTTACAATATTCATATGATGAAAAAGTTCCAATTATTGTTATTCATAATATCAATTACGTTTTGTTTTTTTTTTATTATATTTGTGTTATTAATTATACCTTGCAATTGGGCAGATAGCAGTCTAAAATTGGAAATGGATAACAGAAAATCATTTTGGACCGAGACGATTTTTACTGATATAGGTATGCTTACACAAACAAATTAACGTTATAGTTTAATAAATTTATATAATTTACATTGTAGAACTAAAAGGAAAGCCGAGTCTTATTGAGTTTAATAAAAAATTATTGAGGTTAGTATTTATAGCACGAGGATCAATTTTCAATAGTCAATCTGTACCACCTAGAACGGAACGATTTCCATCGGGTGGAGGTGGTTTGTTTCAAATGGATACTATTACTGGCAAAGAGATGTGGCGTAAACGCTTAGAGCCACTGCCAGATAAAGTTGATTGTACACTACTAAACAAACATTACGAGGGTGATAGTGAAGTATTTTGCATTGTTGTCGCTTCTAATGGTAACCTATTAGGAGTTGTATCAAGTAAACAACATAAAGGTAATTTATGTACTAGGTTAACTGACTTTTTATTTACATAATTTTTGATACTTCACATTCAAAATGACCCAACAATATTTTTTTAGAATTTCCCTTCATTGAAAAAAGAAATTTTGAAAATCGGATCACGCTAAGTAGTTTTCTATTTAAATGTATATATTTTAAATATACACAAGGTGAAACAGATCCAATTGACAACTCATATAACTTATGACTTACGTAACATTTTATACTTTTTATTTTTTAATCAATTTTTACAGTATAGAAATTTAAAATAATATTTTAAATAAAACATATTATGTTTTATGCAGTAGTGGCTTGTGGTTTTGACGACAGACGATCGCACCCCCCATTAAAATTAATTAAAAGAAGAACATTGATTGTATATTCTTAATTCTAAATTTTTAAAAAATATTTTTTATAACAATGCAAATTTTGAACATTAAAGTCGTTTCCCTCAGATACCAGGAGTATTTGCGGATATGCATGTACACACGAGCAATGTTTGGACAATCGACAGCGTCGTCGAACAATATTCTGAAACGTATAATATAAGCGAGGCGCAGCAATCGTGTGCGTGCAAGTATGGTTCATCTGCGATCTTATATCGCACTCACAGAAGAAGAACGACTCAACTCAATTATAATAATTATACAGTACAAGTAAAAATCATAATAGCTAAAAACAAATATTAAAATTAAAATTAAAATTATCATTCTACATATTGGTATTTACACTAATAGATTAAGATTCATATACTCTATCAAACTTGTATCCTACAAATTCTGTAAAGTTCTTGGGTCTAATATTAAAATTAGTTATGTTTATTTTACTTTTTATTTTTTTGTCATAAATTTTGAGTTGGGTCTATTAGTAATAATTAAGAAGACACGTATTATGATTGTTGCGTTACATCATATGTTATTTTATTTTTCGTAAGCTTAAAAATATATCAATTATCTGATAAGTCATAAGTATAAAATAAATTAAATAATTAGTTACAGTACTGTTAGAATAAAACTATATCTAAGTAGAAAAATATGTGTCTATTACGGCACGTACATAATAATTTACAATACAAAATGTCATGTTTAAATACTATTATAATAATTATGATATAATTGAGGTATTAAGTTTAGCTTACACAATTCTAGCAAATCAGATTTTTTCGCTGCACTTATTTTAGGTTGACAATCGTAAGTTTTTTTAAGTTCCATACTGTTGAAATTGCCATTGCGTGTTTCCCTTTTCAACTAATAAACAACAAAATAAAAAAAAAATTAGTTGACACATAGCGAGATTAGACCACTTTTTCATTCCTTGTTCTTTACAATATTTTACGGACATTCTGTACATTTTTGCTACATTTAAATTTCCAAAAATGTAAGTTCTAGGATTAATATCGTCTGAATTTTATTTTTAGCTTCGATGCGAAGCATCGAAGCTATTGGTTTTACTATGTGTTTTTTTTTTGTGTCTTTTAACAGAAGTGTTCCGGAAGGTAGACACTTTTATATATATCTTAAATTAAAGCTAATATAATGTACTTTATTATGAAAAAAAAAAATTTGACCTCTGGACTTGTCTTCGTGATGAAAATGGCTACCGAATGCTATTTTTGTTTGAAATTTCTCGATTTTATATTTTACATTTTTTACTTTAAAATGCTATAACTTTTTAAAAAATGTATGGATCAATACAATTTTTTCATGAAGAATAGTATTTATATACATCTTTCATTCGACATACTTTTTTTATAAATCAGACTATTTCATAATATACAGGGGGTGTTCAAATCTGAAAAATGCATATGAAAAAGAACAACCGTTAATTGCGAAAGCAGCGTTAAACAAAATTTGTAATCATTTATGGTAGTTAACAGGAAACTGCTGCTCTAACATTTTTTGACGATTTCATTTCAACCAATATAAAAAAAAAAAACCCAGCACAGGGGGGTCGCGGCACAGTGGTGATGTGGCATAGTTGGATCAAGTATAATGATATCTGACAGTGATTAAAATCACTATAAAAAAAAAACGCTTCGATGCAAATCTTTAGATAGTGTTTAATTTTAAAAAATTGGTGGATTATTCCAAAAGCTTCATAAACGGCTAGTTCCTTATTAATATCCTGATTAAGATAAAGTATGTCGAATGAAAAAGGGATTATTAAAAAATAGTATTTCCCATAAAAAAATTATATTGATCAATACACTTTTCAATAAGTTATAGCATTATAAAGTTAAAAATGTAAAAAATAAAATTCAGAATTTTCACACAATAATAGCATTTGGTAGCCATTTTCACC